AACGCAATGCGTAAAAGACAGTATAAGTCATTATATTCCGTAATTATGTCCCCACTGGATGCAACAAATGCCTCGTTATAATGGGTTTTATTGGTTTTGTCTCACTGCGCCGGGACAGCATCACAGTATGGTAAGGGGCGTAACATTTCCGTCACACGCTTGAGGTATTCGGCCAATCACAACGCACTGGATAGCTGGCCAATCAGAGCACACCTCGCTTTTCAGAACTATGAGCTTTGTAAAAATCGACGCGTTTCAGAAAGGTGGGGCATAGAGGAGAAACAATAATGTACAGTATGTGGAAAATAATGTGTTTTTTTAACCTTAAACCGCATAAACACATTTTATTACACCAAATACACAAAATAATGTTATGTTTAGCAACATCATATGACCCCTTTAATGAACATTCAGAGCATTATCCTGGAGTAGGGATTTTCAAACAGTCTTCCTTATTAAACAGAGAGCTAGCTCAGGTAATTAAAAAAAAGTTAATTCAACTGTTAAATAAGGGAAACATCTAAAATGTGCAGTGCTTGAGAGGCTCCAGAAAAGGTTGAAAACCCAGGACGTTCCCATAATGTTAGGTTATGGTTCCCACTTAGTTATTTCTTTGTAAACCAATTCCTAACATTGCTGGAATGTTGCAGGGATGCCTTTGAACTTGTTCACTAATGGCTCTACTGGCTAAACATTCTCTACACTAAACTTTCTCTAATTGCTTTGTTTTCACCATAAATTAACTTTCCCAAAACCATTGCAGGAAGGTTTTTTGACAACCTAATAAAACAAATACAGAACATTTCTCATTGGTAAAATTTGTTCATAGAACATCATTATGACTGAGATTGCTGTCTTCAGTTAAATCTAGAAAATGTCAACATGCATTATAGTTATCAGATGTATGTTATAAATCCAAATTTATCACTGAAAATAATAATTTTGGAATAAAAATTAATTTACGTTCTACTATTCTGCGCAGAAATCCGCGCACTCGCATAAATTAAAAATGAACGGTCATTTCACTTTTCCTGCACACCGACACACTCATTTATCGATGTCTTTATTAAATAGTTACTTATATACCTATGAGATTAAATATTTATGTTTGTGATTTCAGCGATCATTTCTGTTTAATGCACAGAACATAGCAGAACGGAACTGTTCTGCTTCATCGCGATTCTTTCTTTAACGATTTGGAGTCGAACCAAAGTTCAGAATCGATTCCGAGATTAATTTTGAAATTGCGGCTGCGCATTGCAGACATATGACACCTGTGTGTTGCCAGTTGCAGACAAAAAAGCGAGTAAACAAACTTTCGCAAAGTTTGGAATAGACAAGTAACATTCAGGCCGCCGCGGGTTTCAATTCGCGATAAGTGCACCCCAACGGCGTCGTGAACGTCCATGGTTTTTCATCGATATTGCAGATGCTCAGTGTTCGGTCTCAATTAGACTGCAATACCCAGTCTACAATGACAACAAAATTCAAGATTTGAAATTATTTAGCAAAGCGGGAAAACATGGAAATAACCTGTGATGTATGTGGACACCCACTGTACAATATCATCGGTAAGTGATAGACAGCGCACGTGTTACTGTTAGTTGAGCCAAGTCCTTATGTTATGTCATAGAACGATTATAATTCAAGAGACCCTATTTCAGTCATATATGTTTGGCCAGATGTGTAGTTACTATATTTTGCATGTGATGTCTGCTTCTTTTTAAATGAATGAGGGACATAATTAAATGTCAAAATTATTTCCTGTGGTAATCAACATTATGCTACAAATGCTGTCAATAGAGCCTTTAACATTCCTTCAGTGCCACATTCTTTAATTTATAAAACAAGACAAAATGGAAATAATAATAATACAAATAACAATGGTCATACAGATTGGTATCTTAAGCACTTCCAATCATTTGTCTTATAGAAACTGAGGGTTATTTTACCTATTCTAATACTAACCTGGGTTGCGTTTCCCAAAAGCGACTATGGTCGCAAGTTCTGTTGTTACCAGTAGAGTTTAACTGAACTTGCGACAATAGTTGGCTAATGTTGCTTTTGGGAAATGCATCCCTGATTGATGTAAATTGGGATGGTCCAAAAGATGGTCCAAAATATATATCCAGTGTATGGCCCAAATAACGAACACCTCAATATTTAAGATAATTCTTGGGATTAACAGCAAATGTCTGCATTTAGGTGGTCCACAACTAATGTATTGTGTGACCCCACTGACCTAGTTACTGAGCCAAAGAAAAAAGGGAACAATGTGAACATTTTCTGTTTTTAATCACTTAAATGTTTCAGGGACATCTTAATTATAATGAAGGGGCCAATGGTTAAGACAAAATGCAAATGAAAGAGCTAATTTCAGGCAAGAAAAACAACTCTTGAAGGCAGGACTCTGCTCTCTTATTGAGTACTTGGTCATGATCCAAGCCCTGTGATATCTGCCCTTCCCTGCCCTATATAATTCACAAACAAGCCTGAGGTGCACAGTCCTCTCTCAGACAGAAGAAGCTCCACAGCCTCTATCATTGCACATGCTGGTTTGCATATCTAAGGGGAAAAAAGCTTGGATGCCGTCACGAACAATTTGAGAGTTCACCATGGCAACAAAAGCCCAGTCCTAGAATAGCAACAGCATAGAGACAAGTGTGATGAGTGTGATCATTGCTGCATGTTCTTGCAAAACACAGTTGTTTCTAACCATGTATGTTGGATGTTCCGACCATATTGCCATCTAGCTAATTGTTTAATCATACTTAATAGGGGAGGGCGGTAAATGATGGAGATCTTAAATTTGAAGGATTTATTTTTAGGAGTAATCATGATTCAACTTATGTTTGAAACACTACATGAACTTTTCATAATTACTCAATAATTTAGAAATAAATACTTTGCAAATCGACCCCTTGCACAGACTGTGTTGACATGACCAGCATAATCAATCTCAGTATTTTTTTGTTCTTTTGTAAAATTTTGTTCTTTTTGCTATTGGAGCAAATCGGAACACACAAAACATAATATTTGCTGTAGTTTCCATTAACCACTAGGGCCTATAGACCAATTCAGTGTTTGCAAACAGTGAAGACGTTTTTTGTGGGCAGAGCCTATCTGTCAGCAGAATATGACAGTTTTCAAGAAGCAGTCTTGGAAGCCATGGAATAAAGAGTTAAATAGTTAACAGGTTAAACAGTATTTCATGCTGTAACTGTAGGGCTAATACAGTATGTCCCCTATGAAGTGCATATGTGAATACTAAATAGCTAGACCTATTGTTAAAATCAAATTTATGCTTTAAAAGTAGGGTAATCATAGCAGGTTTTATAGTCTGTCCATTTAAACATCTGCATTTAGATTCAAATGGCGTATTTGACGACAGTATTCTGTAAAAATGATTTGGCTTCTGATTCTGACATCCAAAGGCACAACAAATGTTTTCCTCTTATTCCATGGATTTTACCCATTTCCCTCCACTTGTTACCAGTGTTTTGCACCACAATGTGCGCGCAGCTGCAAGTGATGTTAACTGTGACGTAGTGCTGGGCGGTATACCGGTTCATACCGAATACCAGTGTTTATTTTTGTTATGATATTAATTTTTAAAATACCGCAATACCGGTATATGTCACTTAAACAACGTTCGCAACGCGACACTGTTTGAAAGGGGTCCCTTTTCACTGTTGCACTGTGGTGAGGGAACAGCTGTATGTGTTACTAAGCGTGAAAGTTCCGAAACTGAAGCTGTAGAGAAACTTTCAGGCAGGTGTATTGAGGCCAGTTGGTGCTAAGCTCTGCAGGACACCGGCCCTCCAGGATCAAGTTTGGTGACCCCTGCATTATACACAGTTGTTTGCACACAAATTATATCTGAATTACTCGATAGTCAAATAAAAGACAGCATGACATCCTGGAATCTATAATTACCTCAAGTCCCGCATCCGTAATAGTCGACCTCTTTAGACTGACAGACTTGACTCCCTTCTTCGACAGCGGATAGTTGTCGATGAACTCACAAATGTCCAAATCCGAGACCCCCACCAGACAGAAGGACTGGAAGCCTCTGAGAGCAAAAGCCTGCAGGCTTACAAACTCCTTCTCCCCATTGGGCAGGATAGTGTAGCGTTCCTTGGCATGTAGAATGGGCGTCACACCTTCCCAGAACTTGGGCTGGTAGAGCACTTTCCGCCACGTCTTGCACACCTGGGCTAGAATGCACTTTTCTGCCGTGGTGAAGTACCATAAGAGCCGGTTCAGCACCTTCTCGTCCAGCACCAGTTGTCTCTCCAGCATGGGCTTGGGAAATTGCCGGAGGGGAGGTTTGATGGCAGTCACGGGGCTCGTGTCCAGGTCGGGGCCCAGCAGTGAGGCCGCTGTGGGCAGGGGCTCTAGGTGATAGGGAAGGCTAGGCACTTTCCGCCATGTCTTGCACACCTGGGCTAGAATGCACTTTTCGGCCGTGGTGAAGTACCACAAGAGCCGGTTCAGCACCTTCTCATCCAGCACCAGCTGTCTTTCCAGCAGGGACTTGGGAAATTGCCAGAGGGGAGGTTTGATGGCAGTCACGGGGCTCGTGTCCAGGTCGGGGCCCAGCAGTGACGCCGCTGTGGGCAGGGGCTCCAGGTGATAGGGCAGGCTAGGGGGAGGCAAGATGGTGGGCACGGAGGACGACTGGCACAGGCGATTCTTGGCAGCTGGAGTACCTTTAGTGATGCTGGCCGAACCGAGGCCATTGGGCTGGGGGGGCAGCTTGACCATGCCGTTTCGCGTCACGCAGGGAGACTTGAGGTCACTGGGAGTGGACATATTCAGCATTGGAAGCCTGTGAATAGACCAGAGTTGAATCATTGCTCTTAGATACAATAACATCTTGACAGTGATATTTAAAAACATATTATTATGATTTAAAAAAATATTTTTTCACACTATGCATAAATGTGATCACAGCTCTTAAGAAAGTGTTAATTTCTATGGCAGGGCTTAACAATAACAGTTTTTTCCAATGACAGATTTGTCAACTGCTCTGCCAACCACTTCATAGATAAATATTTTTAGCAAAATATTATGTGTGTTTCTCTCTTTCAGTAGATGTTACATTTTCTTAAGGTTTTTTTGGGGGGGGTCTAAAAGTCAAAAGACAAGACAAAGAAAAGACAAAAAACACTGTTAGTTTGATAATCTTTTCAGTCCTCAGCTTTTTACACTTTTGGTAAAAAGCACTTTAGCTGCATTTATCTTTACATCATTTTTAATCAAAACAACTTCTACCATTTTCCACACATTTTGTAAAGGCTTAAGAGGGGTTTTTAGCCCCACTGTAGCCTAATATTTGTAACAGTAGACGTAGATTCAGAGGCTTGGTTAACACTGAACAAATTAGATTTGTGTTTCAAATCCGATCTTTAAGACTGACTGGCTACTCGCTGTTATTTAGCAAGTAATTGGATCTGTTTGTTCAATATCTGATATATCTACATCGATTGCCATAGTAAGAACAATGACATTAGCTGTTTTTGTCTGCAGTCACTGATAGTAAATGTCGACTGAATGACCACTAAACCTTTACAGGAGAAACACAATCTAGGTAAAAACTATCCAAATGCACAACTCATTTCACAGCTTTTGAAAACTAGTGGGGGAAAAGCACATCTAATTTGTTTCCCTAGGAAATCAAACACTAAAGAGCAGACCACAAACCCCATTTCCACCCACACTCTAGAGGTGGAGCTTTCTAAGATTACATCTGATGAACAGAGAAGAACAGTAGTGCTAGTGCTAGAACCTACAGAAAAAATAGTGATTCTCAACTAGGGGTACTTAAGCAACAATTTGGCTGGTCCTCACAGGGCTGTTTGGGGACAAGGTTGTAATTAGTTTAAGGGTGGGGTTAGGCATTTAGTTGTGATGGTTAATGTTAGGGTATGTGGCCAGGGATTGCATTGTGTCAATGGATGTCTTCTAAGAATGTCTTCAAGGATAGCTGTACAAATGTGTGTGTGAAAAACACAATCTTGTCTTGTTTTTGGTAGTTATTGTGTTAAAGGGGTCATATGATGCGATTTCAAGTTTTCCTTTCTCTTTGGAGTGTTACAAGGTCACGCTACTCTGTTCCCCTTTCGGGCTCTCTTTACATTTATTTTGAAAGATGAAGCTCACGATTATGGTAAGGGGCGTTACATTTCCGACGAGTGCTTGCGGTGTTCGGCCAATCACAATGCACTGGGTCAGCTGGCCAATCAGAGCAGACTGCGCTTGTTGGAAGGAGGGACTTTGTAGAAAACGAAGCGTTTGAGAGAGGAGGGGCATAGAGGACCTACAATAATGTACAGTATTTGAAAAATAATGTGTTTTTTGAACATTAAAGCATGTCATCATATTCTGTTACACCAAATACACAAAATAATGATCTTTAAAAAAGCATCATATGACCCCTTTAAAACTGTTTGAGAAAAGATGTGTACATATTGAGTTTGTTAATCTGTGTGAATGACACTCAGAATATATGTGCATATTTAAGAAACAAGACAGGTAGATTTCTGCGAGTGCTAGTAGCGTTTCACTTTGATTTTCTTCAGAAGCGTCAAAACCTGTGAAGACAAACAAGCTCAGGTGTCTCATTAAAAAAGGGAGGTGAGACTTCATGAGTCTGATTTTTAATCATAGCATTCATTTGTTTCCATTTTAAAGTGAAAAACTGTATTAATAGCCATTTTAAGTAAGATTAATAACAATGCTAAAGGTTTTATATTAATGAAGGGGTGTTAGGGCGTTATTGATGGGAATGTAGGGGTACACAAAACAAAAAAGCTTGGGAAACACTGTATTAAAACACAAATAAATTCATGTTCGAGGAAAAACTGGCATGAAGACAAAAAATAGCGCCTAGAATTAAAAGGAACTTTAAGTATCTCAAATAGCAGATGTCTATGTGACATGTATAAGGAAAAGTGCAGCTAATGGAAAGGCAGTGAAGGAAACGGAAAGAGAGAGAGAAAAGGACCTGTTAGTGCAACTTCAGCACCAAGGAGAGCAACTGAACTGCCTGATGAAGCACATCAGAATGCCTTCAGCTACACTTCTGCACTGCAGAGGAGCGCTTTGGCCCACCAAGATGTGCCACTTGTGTGGGCAATGCAGTCGAGAGTTCTTAATAAAAATCGGAACCATTCAATAAGTTGGCAGAGAAAGGGACAGTGGCCCTCCGCACTGGGGCAAATCAAACACTCATTGGGCCAGAGATGCGATGTCAAACCATGTGCAGCAAATATTCGAGTGGAGAGGGACAAGTGATATAAAAAAAAGCTAGCTGACATATTTTGGACGGGGCTTGATGGGAACTTTCTGTACAGAGATATGTGCCAAGAAGGAATCGGTGGCAGCTTGCCAAGGCCCCATCCATATGCTGTCTTTACCCTCCATTTCAGCACAAAATGTATAATTTTAAAGAAAAAGAAGTAATGTGCATTGAGGTTTGGGGTGGGGATCTATATTTAAAAAGTATATTTTTTGTCGCAATACCATAGTGATATTCTCTAACAAAAAAATCGATATTTAGACTTTCCGCAATAATAAGAAAACTGATTCACTTACACAGGAAGTATATTGTATTAGATCTGTGTTAAAATAACCAGTATATATGTTGGTCAGCATTTATCTGACACAGTGACCCCTCGATGTGAAGGTCTAACTATAACCTCTGGCTGCGTGTGTGTGTGTGTGTGTGTGGTCTTCTCATATTTCAGTCAATGGGTTTTTATACACCGAAACAGTATTACATAAAGGCTGTTAACACCTTATATATCTATATGTAGCTGCATGTCATTTAAAATTCTTAAGAACAATTTGAAATTCAAATAATCATTTAAAATTCAGATGCTGAAGCTATGTGGCTGTTCTCTTCACATCCAGCACTAGAACAAATCAGTTCAGCTGTCGCCCCCATGAAGTATTTGAAAAGGGGAAGTAGCCAGGGAAAACCTCCAGAAACACAGTTAAGCAGCAGTGTATTTGAAAGCGAGACATGGAAAGGGCATGGCTGCTGTCCAGATGGGTTCAAGTGAGTTCATCTGGATATACAGAAGGGAAAAAAGCACCTCTTAAATAATTAGGGTGGTGTTTTAGAAGCACACGGCTATAAATCGCGCCTTTATACTTTTCCAAATAAAAGTGCCACACGTACAGAAGTTACGTAAAGAGTAAAGTAAAGAGAGGATTAGAATAGCTAGAATTAGCTTATAGAAGATAAATTAACTACTTGGTTACAAATAGATCAACTAAATAACTGATTAAACTTGTTTGTTTGGCTTATTGTCATGCTTTTAGCTCTGGATATTTTATTTGATTTCATCCGAGCCTTTTAATACATTTGCAAAAAAATCTATAATGACGTCAAAATAAAGACTCATATTGGGTCAATTCCAAATTCGGAGAAACGTCTAAGTACTTCCTTCTTTTCTAGGGATGATTATTGTCTGTTCATGGCTAAAACTGGGAAAAAACTACTTTATTTAAAATAACTTTTACAAGTTTAACTAATTGCTGGTGGTTGAGTTCACATGCTAATGCCTTAAACTACACTGTTAAAATGATTTTTTCAAAGGTGTAAACAAAACAAAGATTACTGTTTCAGTTTCAGCCTTTCCGCCATTTCTTTGTAATTATTTGAGAAATTTACTAGCAATTTAAAACATTTTTTTAATCGTCTTACTTCCAAAGTACAGTATATGGCTGGGAAGTCCTTTTTGGAGCTTGAAAATATTAGATCCCACCAACTTTCATTATATGGACAAAAACAGCTTAAACACTCTTCAAATATCTTCTTTTGTGTTTCACAGATGAAAGAGTCATGCAAACTTGGAAAACATGAGGGTGAGTAAATGATGACGACTTATTTTTGGATGAACTGTTCTATTAAGGTCAGAAGGTTAGAGAATAGTTGGACTTTGCACAGTACAGTTCAATACAGTTCTAAACTCATGGAGTTGTTTGGCTTGAAAGTTTTTCCTTTACAAACATGCCATTATAAAACATGTCAATTTTCAAATGTTTTTGAATACAAGGGAACTGGTCTGCATCACTCGAGGGGCAAACCACTCTAAACTTTCCATTTACCCAACAGTTGGCAGTGTGTTTGCATGGAGTAAATCTGTTCTCCTCTCTGCCACTTTGCAAGCCTTTTCAGTTTGCCCACAGACCCGGCCTCCTTACCCATGTTATTTGGATTTACTGATGAAGCACACAAGCCATATGACAACAAACAAGCAGAGAATGGAGCCCCGGCGCTTCTGCCACGGACAGATGTGCGGTGCTTGGCACACAATGAGAGTGCATGGGGGATGGGACGAGAGGGAACAGGGGAGATGGGATAGTGGAAGCTCCTTGGAGTGGACAGGATTGGCAGTGGTCTCTTTGAGAGGGATTTGCATGTTCAAAGCAACCCCGCAATCTAGTCCTGTTCTCAGCGAGACGTGGCTTAAGGGCACTTCTGAGACTTCCTCAGTGGAATTTCAAATTAAGTTTCAGAAGTTAGATGAAGTTAAACCAAGTCATTGGAAGTTTGTAAGTGGGACAACAGTATGAAATCTTTACTCGCTGAGGAATGGTTCCACTCTACCATTACAGACTTGACCAATTATATTAATGTAAAAAGAAAATCTACACCTGTGTCTGTTTTGTTCCTGGAAGAGCTGCCGCTAGCTAATGTAATGGTTCTCAGAGCATGTGTCCGACTGCAGACGAACAAAACTAAATAAGGAATGAAGTGCAGTCTCTAAAACAGAGAAGGAACCAAAACATCATTGTAATTCGGTTAATATGGTGCAAGCAGAAGACTTCAGATTGATCTCAGACAGTTTCAGGTGTTCCATGTGAGATGCCAAAACTGTATAGGTTGGAAAACAGCAGACTTAGTAAGAAACTGATGAACTAGCCACCTGCTAAAGGCACGTTCACACCAAAGACGATAACTTTTACGATAACTATATTAGCATCCACAACAACAGAGCGTTCTGCTTAAGCACACGATGCATTTATGTGATCTACCACTTTAAATATTCAAGCTCTTTAAATATGATAGATATGAACTTTCAGTTGTTTTACAGTATTGTTCATCAGCTGGAAAAAAAATTCTGAAAGTGATTTCAACAATATTGTTCCTCTGTGTCGCTATTATTATTGCTGTGCTACTCTAATTCTATTCTGATAGAGTTAGAACGATTATTAAAACTTTATAGTTATCGTCCTTGGTGTGAACTGCCCTTACAACTGACCTGAAGAGAGGGGGATGCTCGGTATGAAAGTGAAGATGTGTAATCTACACTCTCTCGCTGTCAACAGTGGGCCTCCACACATGCTCACTTTCATCCATGATATTAGTTACATCTGTAGCTGCTATCGCTGATCTTATTCCTGACAAACCAATAGAGAGAGATCTGTCACTGTTAATGTTTCATCCAGATCTTAATTTTAATGCTGTCAGAGCCAATAGCTTGGTGAACAGCGGTTCAACACGTGGCGTGGTTTTGCTTTAGGCATAGGCAACCTGAGTCCAGGCTTCTGATACTTTTTGATCCCGCCCCCCTCATGTTGCTTCCTGTTAAGTCTCTACTAGTGCTAGGCGGTATACCAGTTCATACCGAATACCGGTGTTTATTTTTGTTATGATATGAATTTTTAAAATACGCAATACCGGTGTATGTCGCTTAAACAACGTTCGCAACGCGACACTGTTTGAAAGGGGTCCCTTTTTTTACAGTTGCACTGTGGTAAGGGAACAGCTGCATGTGTTACTAAGCGTGAAAGTTCTGAAACTGAAGCTGTAGAACTAATAGAACGTGATGACACAGAAGAACTCATCCACAATATCCACATTGACCGCCAAAAATATCCACCGCCCCCTGCCATCAGCTCCCGCGCACTATTTAGTGTGGTATTTTTTGACAATATTCACTCATCGTGACAGTAAAATAGGGCATTCTAAGTCAATATACTGCAGTATTTCCTCTCTCAATTAGTAGAAAATATGGTTAACACCCGGTTATGCATGAAAAAAAAATAGGGCCATGTACCGTGAAACCGGTATAATTTTGAAAAATACCGTGATATAATTTTTTGGTCATACCGCCCAGTACTAGTCACTACTGTCCTATATAATAAAGGCAAAAATGCTAAAAAAAAAAATCTTAAATGTAAAAAAATAAATAAAATGTAATAATACTAAGCAAAGGCCAGATTTAAGTGCCCATATTGGATCTCTCTCTTGCTCACAAACACAACAGCTGTCGTTTAGAAATTTTCAGAATGGAATAACGGCTTACTGCATAAAAATCACGTGTAGCATAAACTGTATGACGCCTGCTATTTTCAATGAATGTAATAGTAGTATGATCACATGACCTAATCATATTGCATGTTTAATTCAGGCCATAGCGTCTGGCTGTTAAATAAAAATGATTTTGCATTTTTAGTTTATTTTTGTACAAAATATCTTAACATTAGCCGTACAATTAAAGGGATAGTTCACCCAAAAATGAAAATTTGATGTTTCCGAACTGTCCTGAGCGGCGGCGCGTCCTCCTGAGCACGTTCTCAACAGCAGGCGCGTGAGGCATCTTCTTCTTCTTCTTGCTTTACGGCGGATCGCAGACTTATAAGTGTATTACCGCCACCTATCTCTCAAGTGGACCACTGACGCTCCTAATTGAGATTGTAGATAGAGTGTCAATGGTCCATTTGAGAGATAGGTGGCGGTACATATAAATACTGTTCAGTTACTTGCACAGACCGATCGTTTTGTGTCTTTTCACATCAATGTATCGTCACGAGCCGCAGGGTTTAATCTGGTTTTGTTTGTGTATGTTTTATGAGTCTCAAAGCCGTGATTCCCATCCACTGACATTATATGACTGACAGACTGCAACGGTTTGTGTTAAAAATCTTCGTTTGTGTTCTACTGAAGAAACAAAGTCACCTACATCTTGGATGCCCTGGGAGTAAGCAGATAAACATCAAATTTTCATTTTTGGGTGAACTATCCCTTTAATTAAGTCAAGGAAGAAACTTTGAAAATCATGCTGATATAGTATTGCTTTTATCAAGCAATTAATCACACTAACATGGAAAGCCAAGTAAAGCACATTGCATTGTGGGATACAGTATTCTATGCAGTAAGCTCTGTTATATTCTGCTCATTACTGGCAAATGTAGTTGGTCATCAAGGTATGCATACAGGAAATATGCACACTTAGCGCACAATACTATGTTCAGTGGTAATGGTTAGAGTATTATTATCGTATGCTTTTCTAAACATAGCCTAACTCTCATTAACTCACTGATGTTTTTAAATTAGAATAGTAGGCCTAATCACTAAGGGTCTTCTAAGCTTCTAAACAGCTTAGGAGAATCAATCCCTGGCTAGACTTTTTAAGAAATCCTATAGGCCTAACGGTTGAGCTTGTGTAGTGAGAGGTGTGTCTTCATTTGCAGCCATGAGCATGTGCTTTTGGTGAAGCTGTATCTCTCAGCATCATCTCTGGAAGATACACATTAACAGGATGGTTCGCCTGAAAATAAAAATTCTGTCATCATTTAATCACCATTTTGTTGCTCTAAACCTTCAATTCACTGATAATATATGGACGAAAAACACACATGATAAGCATATTTTCTGTTTCATGTAATAATATAAAGTCATATAGGTTTGGAGAACATCAGGTAGAGTAAATGATGACAGAATTTTCATTTTGGGGTGAACTATCCCTTTAAATTCCTGTCGTCGTATAACACTGCACAGAGAGCAGCCTTGGCGCCAAGTGTGGAATCATGCAGATGTCTAAATATTAACAAACACTCTACAGGGCCTTGTGGCGTTGTGTAAACGCCGTTGCCGTTTCTCGAACAAAACATGTGCCTGTTACATCATGACAACCGCGCGAAACGCGGAGGATAACGTGTGTATCTCGACCTCAGAAAGACGGACAGGTGACGTCATGTACATGAGGAATATTCAGCATCCCATAAGCGAGACAAAGGCTGTCTCAAAACCTAGCGAGCTGCCTACCTGGGCATCACGAGAAAATGTCTTCATTAATGAGTAAATTTGTCTCGTTTATAACAATATAAATGAAATTGAAAAGCTTGAATTCAGTTTATTTTCGGACCTCATATTCTAGTTTTGAGCATAATTCAAACAAACTTAAGTGAGGTTAAGTGAAGCAAACCGTTTGCAAACGGGAAGAAAAATAAATGTAGCCTAATATTCTTCGAAAAAAAAAACTCTTATTAGTACATTATCTTGTTTTAAAAACGAGACAGTAGGCTAATAAGAAAATATTTATTACAGTGTGTTGTCGCGTGCAGCATTTTTAGCATTTTTATGCTGCCTAGGTAGGCAGTACACTAGGTTTTGAGATACAACCAACGACATGCACATTCACCAGAGAGGTAATAATGTTGCATTCTCGTTTCCTTGTCCTTTCCCCTTTTTTCGGATCAGCACTACTGATCCTCCTCCTATCAGTGCTTGTCCTATCAGTGGGACAATTGTTATTACCAGTCGCTGATATCCTGGTTTTCCTTGAATCCTTTGCGTCAAACGCCATCTAAGCTGGATCAAAACATGCATCACATTAAAGAATAATCGACTGTATTAATAGCCGATTCTCTTACCTTTCTTTCATATGCAGCTCACACGACCATTAATCCATCATAAATCAGATATCGCTGCCTGACTCGATCGCGTTTCCCACAACGTTGCAGGACGCATGAGGGAAAATAAATAAATATACCAGTAGCAGCAGCAGCAGCCCTGCCCGTTATTTCCTTGCGGAGGTGATGATAATTTGATATGTCGATGCTGCCATAGAGATGTAAACCTTTCTCAGTACCAAACCCGTGAAATACCACTTCACATGTGTATGGAATGAAATATTAAACAAGTGAATTAATGCCCTAGCCTAAAATAACAGCCCGTTCATTCTGTTTCTCCACACAAAGCTTGCCTCCCACTCGCTGTCTCTTTCTCTCTCACATGCACACGCACACAAAACAGACCAATCCCATTTAAAGAGATAGCAGCAAAAATATCAATAATGCATCTCTTTGGGCTGGTGAGCATTGAATGTTTTGTGAGCGTTGGTTGTAACTCTTCCGTTAGAGAAAGGTGAAGGCATTGTTTCATTATGTAACCACATATTTACATGCGTTTTGAAGACGCATACATGCACAATATATTACACAATGGAACACAATGTTATTAATCTTCATATGGCAGGTAGTTCTAGTAATTAAATTTGTTTGGCGTTCCATAAGTGTTGATATTTAATATTATCATCAGTGTTCAGTGTTGTTATCCTTTTGTCCTCGAAAGTAAAATGATTCATTTGCCCATGGGTATGCATAAAGGTACAATCACATTAGCAAAATTGACATTTCATGGGCAAACAGATTCAGTGCCTTTTGTCAGTAGTATAGGCTATATATATATATATATATATATATATATATATATACTGTATATAACTGTAACACATCAGAAATTCTCTGAAAAAAGTTGTATTTTTATACAATAATAATGCATATTTATTTGCATTGAAATCAACGCTTATTTAAATTTCTTTCAATAACATATTTAAGGTCTCTCTGCAATGTATGCCTAATCCACCAATTTTTAGTCTGTGCATTGTAACATTCTGATGATGCTTTGGCTTCTATTGGAACTATTTAATGGGCAGGTAAGAAATATATAAACTAATTAGCCATTTTTGTCTGAAAGGCAAGTTACTCGTTCTTAACATTGAATTAACTTGGAATTTTGTATGAAAGCAATATCACAGTTGCAGTTTTTTTTGTTGGTCTGAAATGAGCATGGCCTGTGATGGCCTTGTGCCTACAGCCGAATCACAGCTGTGCTGATCTTTTAAAATGCATGACCAATTTTGAGGATGATATTACTTGACTAAACAATATGATTGAATATTGTATGCTCACTGTCTGTACTTTTCTAAAAACAAACAAAAACATGATTCTTTTTTGGGGTGGAGTCAGCAGTCATCTGAATCTGTTTTTACTATTGAACTAATTACAAATGTAATACTTAGTAACTTAATATTTAAATTACTAATATAAGTTTTGGATCATTTAAGGACACTGTAGTGTGCGCTAGCAGATTGTTTGACTCATGCACACTCCAATCAGTCATTTCAGCATTGCCCAGAGGCATAGGATGTATCCGACGCCCATTTTAGCTGCCTTTACATAACTTCTTCATGCTGGCTTCAGTACTCAGCCAAGAAGTGTGCATCTCCTGCAGCAGTTGTTTGGATAAAATTTCTGCCGAGCACCAGCTAGACTCGCTCACAGACCGCTTTACACCTTTAATCAGCAGGTCTGTCAAATGGCTGCTGGTGAGTTGCAGCGTGCGGCTATATGCTCGGCCGCAAGAATTCTTCGGTGCTACCTTTACTCGTTATGCATGCTGAGCGCATCCCGTGTCAGCCTCCACACAGAGTCAGAGAGATAGAGAGCTATCTATTTATAGCCTGCTCACTTGCTCCCACCCACTCCCAGCCTCCCTCATTGGACAGAGCCTGCACAACAAACGAAGAAATCCTATATGCCTATTAGGATCCTACTCAGTCCTTCAGCATAAATAATGGAGGGATTTTGGTGTGGGGAGAAGAAGTGCACCTCCTTAATAATGCATGAGCGTAGGGGCAACTGTGCCTCACTCTTCCGATGGACGAAGGTGGGGTGGATGGGCATGTGACTGTATTGTGTTTAATCATCTATTTAGGGTATAGGGTCTCACTAGCCATCTGGCATACTGAATTTGCCTCTTTAGAGGGTTGCCCTGGGGATTTGCTTAGTTCTTTTAAATTGAGACCGAAGCAGTGTTGTCCTAAATCTAGTTTTTCCTGCACTTTTCCTTTCCTGGGTTGCATGTTTTTGTGGGCCTCTAAATGGAAGGGCCCCTCTCAGGCTCTCCGTGGCTGGCACCAATCTCATCAGTCATGACTTCATGCCATACAAAGGATTCCCTCACAATCAGGCCCCATCCTCGCAGATTCGGCTCACCATTGGTGTGCGTGTCTGTGTACTTTAACTGCAGGTCTAGGGAATCTCATAAAGATGTGCTTACTCTGGATTATTGTACAAAGCAGCTCAGAGAGGGAGACGGTTATGGTCTTATGGCATGTCAATAAAAAGCGAGGTATGTGAGGGACCAAGTTATAGCTGCCAAAACCTGATATTTTCCACTTTCTGCTTCCGTTCTCTTAAACCAACACTTGCGTATTTGTCAGGAAAATTCAGTAATGAGGTCCAGGTTTTCTTCACAGTTGATAATGCAAATAAGAGTAATTCACCAGGATTTCACCAGTGGAGGACTAGGAGTGCCATATTAATAGGAGTTAGTCATCCATGTATTATTTCAGATATAAAAATATAAATAAATCACTTTTCAAATTGTCAAATAAAAATTAACGAAAGCAAATGTTGTTATTAATGTGACAGCAAATTATAGATTGATAAGAACAGTTTCATTGTGATCTTGTGAAGAGTTATGGGGCCGAATACATAGTCTTAACTAATTTCAGTTAGCTAATTTTTCTTTAAGACTGGTCATAACTTCTGAAAGTCAGTTATAAAAATGGAGAATTGTCTATCCAAAAAGTAATTCTGATTACCTCTTGGATAGCTACTAGTTGGTCAAACTAGTTCTGAAGACACAGTCTTAACAAAGTGGCTATGTTCATGCAACCGGCCTATGATAAAAAGATTTAATTAAGGCTTTTATTCACATATGCATATCAATTATAGGTCTCAGTTTTCATTTAAAATATCTTAATTTGGATCTTAAAAATTAACCGATGTCTTATAAACATGAAAGTGAGGAAATTATGACAGAATGTTCATTTTTTGGCTAACGCAGGGCATGGCTGTGAGTGAAATGTGTGAAGAGAAGTTGCCATTTTTAACTCTTTTTATTAATTTTTAATACAAACAGTATTCATTTCTTCATTTCTCCGTACAAACATGCCTTTACACCGTGTTTGTAATCGAGAGAGAACCCTTTATATGGCACTCCTAGTCCTCCATAAAACTTTAATTAAATGCCAGCATGAAAACAATGCAAAGTATGTGGCCATTTGTACCTCCCATCTTATTTTTTTGGTGCAGATTTCTTTTTTTTGTCGTGAGGTGGTGAATGACAACTGCATTGCCTAATTATGCAAAAATCAAAGAATACAAAGAGTGGAAGACACCTGAAAATGCTTCTCTCATTTGCACAGTCAAATCAATCCACCAACGGTAAACTGTGGTCAGGAGAGTTGTGATAACAGCGTAAACCTGAGAGTGAGTTTGACAATCTGTGTGTGTTAAACTAACAAACATCTGCAGGATATTCGAAACATATGAAAATGACTGCAACCGTTTCCAAAAAGTACAAAGAAACAAAGTCAGGACAAAGAAAAGGGAATCTTAGCTAGGTTTCTGCAGGGTTAATGTTTGAGTATTATAAAAAGAAAATTAATAAAATAAATATGTTTAAAGTAATATGTATTTATTTATTTATCACGACCACACCCAC